GCGCCTGCTGTGGAACGGAGGGATAAAGTCATGCTCTTCGAGACCCTCATTCTTACGGTCCTCCTGCACGGAGCGGGCTCATGGGGGACGCTCAAGAGTTCAGAAGTTGCCATTTTGTCGGCGGCATACCATGGTATGGCCTGCTACATGCTCCGACCGCAGTTCACGTATGAGCAAGCTATGCATCTTAGCCGCAGTCGTGTACTGGCCCTTCTGGGTCTTCCGTCCATCCCGACGCTTCTTCATGTGGCCAGGTTGCGGCACCTTCTCTCTTGTTTGGCTACCGGTGTTCCTGTCATGTGGGCCATCTTGCACTGGCACGGGCACTGGCTGGATTCTGCTCGTTCCTCGATTGCCTGGCTTTGGGAACATACCGACCATGGAGCCTCAACGAGTTGCTGGCGAGATGCCTGGGTTCTCTGGAAGGAGTGGTGTTTACATCAGCCCCGTCGATGGAAGGGCCTCATTCGAAATGCCCAAGCCCAAGCAATCAGACAGGAGCATTGGTTGTCCTCTGAGCGACACCATTCAGGGCTCATCTGTCGACAATTGCGGCAAGCAGGGGCCTTCCTGCCGTCCGATGCTCCTAGCCTGGCTAATCAGCAGCACTTTTGTGCCCCGTGTCTCAAGAGGTTTGCTACGTACCAGGCCTGGTCCGTCCATGCCTTTAAATCTCACGGACACACTGCCGAACATCGTCAGGTACAAGGCGGCACTCAGTGTCAGGCATGCCTCCGACACTTTACCACTCATATCCGCCTTTGTCGGCACCTGCAGTATAATCCCCTCTGTCGCTCTAAGCTTCGGGAGGCAGGATATGGCTGCAGGGTTGAACCAGGGGTGGGCAATAAGCGTGCCCCGGATGAGGGGAAATTCCAGGCGCCTTCCTTGCAAGCTCAGGGACCTCTTCTCCCTTTGCTCGGATTTGGGTGGGCTGAGTATCTTGATAGGCCGGCCATTGAGGTCCTCGAATGCCTCAGCCACATTTCCTTTGGACTTGGGGAGAGCCCGCCTGAGGCCCACGTTGCATGGGAGAGGGCTCGCGCTGCCTTCTCGTCTGTTTGCCTCCCCATCCGCAAGATTAGGGCCACCGCGAGGGAATGGGCCTCTATCGTGGGGGGTGCCCCTACGGCAGATGTCTTCCCGGCAGGCACACTCCTGCATATCGCCCAATGGATTCTTACTGCAGACCTTGCCGACTGGTTGGTTCCCCAGCCTGTTGGCGGCTCCCGGCAGGTCTGCACATTCAGGGATGTTGAGGAGGTTTTGCCAGAGCTACAGGTTGCGCATTTGCCACATCCCACTCTGGACTTCTCCCCTGATTGGACTCTTGTGAGGATCGGGGCTCCGGGATGGTTGGCAGCCAGGGGACCTGCTGTTGCGTCTTCTGTTGACTTCACGCATGAGGAGTGCCTTCAGGCGTTTGAGGAAGGTGGCCTCCCCTCCTTCATGGAGGACGTGAGCAATGATGCTGTGTTCGTCATTTCAGTCTGCGGCCTCCCCATGTGGAATGATTGCCCCATCTCACCAGTCCGACAAAAGACTTTTGGTTCTCAGTTGACCAAAGCGCTCCTTGCCGGTGACTTGCTCAGATTCGCCCTCCGCCTCTGGCTCCTGGGCGTCCCTGCAGCCCTTTGCACAGATCGGCATGAAGCGGTACCCGCTCCAGTCATGTCCCTCCCTTTCCTTGACTCTCCTAAGGTAGGATGGGGGACGGTCTGGTGCACTAAGGCCTTCGACTGGGAGCCTTTCTTGTTTCACCTCATTAATTAAATCTGCAACCAACGGGCTGCAACCGCGAATGGAATCTACGCCCGAAATGTGAGAAA